ATAATTGGGGAAAAAAACACAAGCTAGCAGGGAATTGTCATTCACTAGCATTTATTGTTCTTAATGTCAGTTTTGCTGTAGTACATTTTATACACTGTATAGGTGCACCACTTTCCAGACAGGTTTAGCTTGATATGCATATGTGTGCCACTATAGTGTGGGTGTGAGATGTTTGGATAGGGTGCAATGTCAGTGTTTGCCATAAGTACTCCTGCACAGATGTGATGGGGAGGGGGTATGGAGAGAGGGTGATATTTTTTAACTCTGGAAATGACCCCAACTCTCAGTGATGTTCTCACCTTTATCATCTCTTTAATGGTTTTATAGATTGCCTGTCTTCTATGGTAACACTATTACTATAGCAGCTGTAATATCAAAGCAAAGCTAAAGTAGCAGATAGCAGCCTATTGTTTCCAGCAAATGATTAGCCACATCTAAGCATATTTGAACTGTCATACATGTCTGCAAACCAACTATAAACTGTAATTACAGCCTCTGGGAACCTGGCTAAATGCTCATTTACAGCCAGGTAATATTGATTAAGAGTAATTTCAGGCAGACACTTAGTAAAGCATCCAGATGTTAAGACTGTCTCTTACAGATGCATACAATAGTGTTCTCTCTAGTACCCCCTACTGTTGGTGAGGAGGTAAACTCAAGATGTAGATGAGCCACCCTCCCTGTACAATCCCTTCTTAGAAGTCTATGCTGTGCCCACCCTGACCTGGTACCTCATTCTCCCCTCCTTGTTTGCTCTGCTTTATCCTCAGATGTCTTGTTATATCTTATACCCAAGATTTCACATGATTCTGTTCCACCCCACTCTTTCACTTATAGCATCCCCTCCCCTCTACCCCCTCCTCTACATATCCCTCCCTTCTCTTGCATGAGTTGGAGGTGCTCTGAGTTGTGCTTCTATCTCCAAGATTGGATGTCATCTCTGCCATACCTCGTCCAGAAGAGGCTTGCATCACTGAGCTGCATTCAGGGGGAATGAGGACCTGGAGATCTGGGAGCTCACCTATTCTTCAGCAGGTAAGCCAATGCATAGCTGCAGAGTATATCTCTAATCCTAAAATTGCTGAATGAGTGACAAAACTGCTCTATGCCATGTATTCATTGTGCACCTTACTTGCTGCTGCCTGGATCTGACAGCTGAGTGTAACTGAATCCTATGGAGCTACCTGAAAGCTGCTTTCCATCACAGCATCACATCATGTCACTGCAAGCAGGGGCACTGGTAAATGTATGATTTCACTGTTACACATTCAGAAAATCACTGCATAGCAAGAAATAAGCAAGGGAGAGATCTGATCCACTGTACTACACTGAGAACTGTGCTGGCAAACTATTCCTTTTCCTTGAAAGCTCCCTGTATGAAGCAGACAGTACAGTACAATAGTACATCGTACAGTCAAAGCAGCACAACCCAATGACTGCAACTGAAAAGTTACTGCAAACATAATGCGGGTTAGTGTTCTTTATTTCTGAAATCAATCAGCCAGAAAACAAAACAACATTGAAGTTTTAGGATGTGACCCAAAAATGTGGTTCCCATATTGCTCAGCCTTTGTCTGCTAATTGTCGGAATTAAACTCAAGTCTTCCCAGTCGGCAGGACTGTAACTTATTAAATCAACATAGGACACAGGGGAGCTTTACTAAGCTTGTGAGGTCACACAATGTGAAGGATTCAGAAAATCTGTTGTTCATAGCCCAATCTAATTATATAGGATACATTGCTATTTATTACAGTGCATGAGATCCAAGTCTACCATATGTGAAGACTGGATAGAATTGGGACATGATGTACTTCACTTGCAGAGATGTGACAAGGACAGTGACAGCTGAGTGTATAGCAGTGAGTGTGCTGTATCTTGTCATCAGAGGAACATTGCATTGCATTGTAATTGCAACTGCCAATTGCAGAATTCATTCACCATGCAGTCTGTGTGCCAAGCAGACCCAGTTCTTATAATAAAAAATGTCATATCATACATATGGTCAATCCACTGAAATCTCACCAAAGTTGTGCTGTAGTCACCAAACCACCAGCATCCACAAGGTTAACCCAAAAGGTGCAACAAAAGGTGTCCCCCACCGAGGACTTCAACAAGCACTTTGTGCAAAAAATTGAAAATGTATCATCACAAAAGCAGCAGCATAAATGTTGAAAAAATAGCTCAAGCCAAACAAATACAGACACAAAATGCTAACCAGCTGCCACATCAATAACCAATCAATAACCAACATTTGAACAAAATATCATATATCTAGGTCAGGACTGACATTGTCTGCAACAGAGAAACAAGACAAGCTACCATCTATTTTTGCAGATGCCCAAAAGGTTCTTTTTTTTTTGTCTCTGTGGTGTTCAGGGTATTCACCAGACACTTGCCAATCGGTCAATAAATTCAATCATATGTCATTTGGTTAGAAATATGTTCATTGTATTTTAGCTAGCTCGCTCTGCCACCTAGTGGTCCCAGTGAATATTACACCTGCTCAGCACACTGTAGACCTGCAAAAGCAGTAGGCTTCCTTAGTGCAAAGTGCAGTGGTATTCTGTGATAAAGCAACAAAGATAATAATATATCAATTGAAATATTATATGAATACATTATCGTTAATATATAATAGCAATAGTGCAAAGTACAGTGATATTCTGTGATACAGTAACACAAATAATAATATGTTAATTACAATAAAATATGAATACATTATTGTTAATAAATAATAGTAACAGTGCAAAGTGCAGTTATATTCTGTGATACAGTAACAAAGATAATGATATATTCATTAGAATATTAGATGAATACATTATTTGTTAATATATAATAGCAATAGTGCAAAGTGTAGTGATATTCTGCAATATCTGGATGAATGAAGGATGCTGATCTGAAGGATGCTGATCACAACCTTCTCGACACCTTACAATCTGGCTTTCACGCCCTATACTCCACTGAAACCGCCCTCCTAAAACTCACTAATGACCTACTCACTGCTAAAAGCAAAGGCCACTATTCCATACTCTTGCTATTAGATCTTTCTGCTGCTTTTGACACTGTTGACCACCTGCTCCTCCTCAAAAAACTCCAGTCACTTGGGCTACAAGTCTCTACTCTCTCATGGTTCTCCTCCTACCTATCTAAGCGCTCCTTTAGCGTCACCTACAAATCTAACTCCTCCCCTCCTCTTCCTCTTTCTGTAGGGGTCCCCCAAGGCTCTGTCCTTGGACCCCTTCTCTTCACTATCTACACCTCCTCCCTTGGTCAGTTAATAACCTCACATGGCTTAAAATACCATCTCTATGCCGATGACACTCAAATCTATCTTTCTACTCCACAACTCACCCCCTCTGTGTCCTCTCGTGTCACTAATCTACTATCCGACATATCCGAACTCAACCTTTCAAAAAGTGAGCTCTTGATATTTCCTCCACCTCGTGCACCTTCCCCCAACTTTTCGCTTGAGATTGTTAACACAACTATTCACCCCTCCTCCCATGCCAAGGTCCTAGGTGTCATCCTTGACTCGGACCTCACCTTTCTTCCCCACATCCAATCACTATCTAAATCCTGCCGCTTTCACCTTCGTAACATCTCCAAAATACGCCCCTTCCTCACCAAAAGAAAAAGCAAAATTACTCATCCACTCCCTTGTTATATCTCGTCTTGACTATTG